CCCCAGGTAATACTATGTGTGATACAAATTATAACTTAATAAACAATCAAAAAACCACCATATTAATAACCTGACCCAACAGGCTGTCAGTGGGGTTCAAAACCTCATTGTGAACATTGAAACGATGGCAGTGAGACCCAAACCAGGAGGAAGACTCCAGCAACTTGTAACAGACATGTAGCAGCAAGGAATGGCACACACAGAAGATGAAGTACCATTCTACAAGTTTCAGGTAGTTATCCCGTTTTTTTTTTATGTAACATATGCTAATAATAATAAAACAGTAAGTGTTGTTGTTTGATTACATAATCAGTGTAAATTAATATTATAATTTCAGGATGTCCCACTTTCGTATTGTGAAGCCACAGTGCTGGCAGAAAATGAGAGCATCTACATCAAATCTCCACAACTGCATCAGGGAGTAAAAGATACTGTGAATTCCACCATTAAGCACCTTCAAAACAGATTTGGTAGCCTTTTAGGTAATAAGATTTTCTTTATTGGACATTCTGCAGTATCAAAAGTATTACAATTATTATCATTATTATTTTTTTTTATTGTTTGTGCTGACAGGCACAGTGGGAAGCATGCATGAAACACCTACTGCCAAGCACCTACAGCAGTGACATGCTTCAACATCTTTAATCATGACTCCTGGCCAACTGAGAAAGAGAAACTCTTGGACTACGGTGCAGAAGAGCTTGATTTTCTGCTAAAGCATTTCTCTCCTGTCCTAGAAAGGTAACTTCTATGGAGCTGAGCCAATCTCTTAAGAATAGCCTTGATCGGGTTGTGTTAGCCACAGTGTTAACTGTCTCTCATTTTATTTTTAGGAATGGAGATGTGAACAAGCTCTCTATAGAGGAGTTTCAGGCACTGAAAACAATGATCACGGTCTCTTTCATGGATAAGAGCTACCTCGGACTGTGGGACATCATGTTGTCTAAGGAACCATACTGCTCTGACTACAGTATTTACATTATTTTTTTTATAATAATCACGGTTATGCTGTTACTTAAAGCATTGTTCTCACAACCATCTAATCTGTCTTCTTCTTTAGAACATCCTTCAGTTAGTTCATATTATGTTGGTGCTCCCTGTGTCCTCCGCTGTGTGTGAGAGGGGCTTTTCAGCACAGAAGCGGGTCAATTCTGATGTGAGGTCATGTCTCAACCCAGACACAGTGGAGGACCTCATCAGAATAAGTATAGAAGGCCCAGAACTAGAAGACTTCGATGCCAGGGACATTGTTTCAACATTCATTAATAATGCATCTACGCAGAACAAGAGTATTACATACACATTTTAACACGACACGACTGTGTTGGGAAATCATAAGCAGTTGCTTTAAATAAAAAAAAAACAAGGCAGTAAGATGACAGCATGGTCTCAGAGAGCTTCAACTGTATACTTCAAAATATAATTTTGTGATTAATGAGTCTGAACCAATCAGATCATCTCCAATATAAACAAGACTAATTGTATTTAACGTCCTACTCAAGCAATCACAGATCTTTTACTTTCATCATTTCTGCAGAACATTTTTATCAGGCCGAATCTTCGCAACATCTGGGACTGTCCAAGATCTCAAATCATCGTTTTGTCCCCAAATTGCTCAAGGTTTCGATCTGAAAGTGCATCAGTCCTTTGCTCTTCTCCCGTCTCATCTCTTCATCTCATCTATTTATCTGCCGATCCCAGTTCACAATCCTCTGGTGTAAAAGGTGAAGCAAAAAAGGATTTGAAGAAACACAGGCTTGTGCCGATGGGGATTCCTCACATTTTTTTGTTACTGTAGATGAAAAGCACACTTTTATGATTGCTTTCATTTTTTCAATGACAAACCCTCAGTCATATAATGCTGCTAAAATGTGAAAAGAGGGAGACAAATTGAGATATTTCTACTGTAATATATATATGTGTGTGTGTGTGTGTGTGAATTAAAGTAATTTTAAGAAGGCCTTGACACAAATGTAAGTGACACTCGACCTAAATCTAAAAACCGATTCTGTTATCTTAATATTATTATTAGTAGTAGTAGTGGGTGTATTTTTTTTTGTATATTATGTTATTATATTATAAGATTATTCTTTCTATCTGCATTGTACCGCTGCTCTGCGCAGGACTAGTAAGTATAATCTCAAACATACACTACTATTTCATAAGTTTGGGGTTGGTATGATTGTTTTTTTAAATGTTTTTGAAAGTCTCTTATGCCCACCACAGCTTAATGTATGAAATGAATACAATTTAATACAATTTAAAATAACTTTTCTATTTGAATATATTTAAGTC